TCTATTTCAATAATAACTGGTCTGTCGCTTAAATAATGTTCAAGTTTGTGCAAACACCAGAATATGGCTAATGCTTCACGCTCTATCGTAGAATAATTTTGTTCGGCTGAATTGAGTAATCGTGATAGATAATAGTTGTAATGTATTTTTCCATCTATTTCTTGTTTTAATGTGCCACCGACGGCATGCCCAGAAGCGTCGGTCGATAAAATAAATTGAGCTGTGGGGCGTGGAAATATAAGAAGTAATGGTTCTGTAGTTAATATGTCCTTTAATTTAAGAAATGCATCATGTTGTTCTTGGTGCCAATAAAAATCTTTACGTCGAAGTCGAGTTTTGTTAGTAACTTTATGGATAGGCGCACTGATTTTTGCAAAATTTGGACTAAATCGGCGATACCAATTTAATTTTCCAATAAACTGATTAGCTTGTTTTAATGTACGAGGTTCTGGCATATCTAAAATAGGTTTAATTCGTTCAATGGATGGTTTGATTGTCGTGGGTGCCACGGTGTGACTTAGAAATTCGATTTCTTGTACGGCTATCATACATTTTTTCGGATTAAGTTGAAAATTACGTGCGTGTAAAATGGCCAAGGCTTCGTTTAAATGTTTCATGTGTTCGTCGAAGGAATGAGAGAATATCAAAATATCATCTAGGTAGAGTACCAACCAATCCCATCGATTATTAGCTAAGAGGTTATTCATAACACGTTGAAATGTGGGCGGTGCATTTGCTAAACCGTGTGGCAACACTTCAAATTGATAGAGGCGGTCCTGAGTGACAAACGCAGTTTTTTCTTTGTCAGCCTGCTGTATGGGTTTTGTGAACCATGAATGTCGGCCGATGCGTTGTAATAGCTCCTCTGTATTTGGTTGTGGATAGCTGTCTTTTTTGGTTACTTCATTAAGTTTGCGGTAATCAACAAGAAATCTAAAGCTGTCATCCGGCTTTTTGAGCATGGATAATTGTGTTGTCCTTGTATGCATATTCCAAAATTCAATACTAAATGTTGGTTGACGTCGTGTCTTGTTAGGGCAAAGTCGTCCTATATATGTATCTTCAAAATAATTTAAAATATCTTGGTAATCATCATCAAGATCTAATACAAGACATGAATATGCATGTGATACATCACAAGGTGGAATAAAATCTAACGCAGCTATTTTATTAATATTATGAACAAATTTAACATCTTCTTGATAACGATTCTGATAACCTAATGCCTAATATACAAAAAAGAAACAAGTTATACATTGAAGAGCGAACATATGCTATTCGAAATTATTTTTATACTAAATTACTTCAACGTTACCTGAAGTTGTCGATGAAGATTTTGACGAAAATGGAAATAACAACCAGATAATGATATATTAACAAAACTACTGTCATATACATTAATACATGCCTTTTCGAAATCAAGTAAAATAGAACCAGCAAACCAGCATGGAGCAGATTCTACTATTTCATATATAAGACGTTGATATGTATCACTATTTTTACGACTGAGTAATGAATAGACAACTGGTACAACATGCTCACGATAGCTGGCATGTACAACATATCATTGATAAAAAATCTCAGGAACAACCTAAACATAGGAATATTTACTTTTACTCCACTCAGCTGACATTTCCGCCGAAACCCAAGAAATATCTACTTCTACATCATAAAATAATCCAAATGTTAAAACTGAGCATGCGCTCACCTTTTTCGATAGAATCTCTGAATCGCAAATATATTTTTTGTGCTATATACCGAAGATTGTCCAGTACCATATGAACGTACCTAATGGAGAAGCCATAACAGTTCCACTAGTGATGATTATTTCATTCGGTATTATTGCAAAACATTCGTCAGTCTAGAAAGTGGTTTGTTTACACGTGTCATGAGCAAGAAGAATAAGACCATTACGTACTTCCAATTCCTGCGTAGCTTTTGGTCCCAGTCCATAATTGTCAAATGAACAAAGTTCAAATTTACTCGTATCAACATTATGTTTATGTAACCACTCAAAAAACAACTCGATATTCGTTTGTCGATTCAAAGTTGGTGGTCGTACAAGATCTATGTATTTAAAAGAAAGAAAATAACTATGAGAGCTAGAAGAAAATTTATCAAAGAGGCAAACCTTTTTCAATCTCAATTACTTTTTCGATCAACGCATATATTGGTTCAAATACTGACCATTTGTTTATCTCTTTGACTGTTGAACATTCTAAATAATTGTTGAGCTGAGTAATTTTTACTATTGAACATATAAAAATTTTCCTTTAGTGGAAAAATGAGATAGTGAAACTCGACAAACACTACACATGCAATATGATACATCCTCAGAAAAAGATCACTGTGTTGCGTGTGGACGTAGCTGTCGCATGCACGTATTGATTGCAAACAGTTATAGGTACCTGCATTTAATTTTGATATAATTTCATCTCGTACTTTGTTGTAGCAACTGATTGAACAAACCGTAATATCTATTTATAAATAAGTTAAATAAAGTCTTTTATAAGTAACCGATGTTTTCATTGTCAAAATCGGAGAAACATTTTTCTCTATGCGGAGAAATCAATATAGGCACAACAAAATCGAGTTATTGGATTGATATTCCGCTTCGAAATGAAAACGATGGAATTGAGAAGTAAAAACATTGAAAAATAAATACAAAAATTTAGAACTTTTAAAATATGTATGTTCTTAATTGTTTAGATTTCCATTTACTATGTATCTAGAGCACATACCACTACCTGAAATACGTTATCGCAAATTAGAATGTTTTTCAACAATGATAGATGAAGATTCAGATTACACAATTCAAAAAGAAAAAAATCAAAGAATACAGGGCAAGTATTATGCTATGCAAACTTTGAGACCCAAAAGAATGAAATTCGCCTCTAATACAAAACATAAGATCATAGAAAAGAGAGTGCCACAC